AAAATAAGTAGAATTCAATTATGCAAACCACACAGACATGGTGGTCTTAAAATGATAAATAAGTTTTTTTGCTCCTTAAAGTTATCATGGTTACGGAGATATATAGTGTCAACAGGAAAGTGGAAACATCTTGCTGACTATTGTGCACCAGATCTGTGTGACCTAATATATGGAAAAAATATTAATCTGAACAGTTATAAGGAACAATGATTGTTGGAAAGATATAGCAATGGCTTGGAATGGCTTAAATTATAAAGATTATCCACAAACCACCTCTGAAATACGTGGTACCAATTTATGGGGGAACCCCAAATAAAAATCAACAATACACCAGTGGTTTACAAAAATCTTCATAAGAAAGGAGTAACTTATGTAAATGATCTGATTTGTGACAAAGAGGATGATTTTATGAATTACAACAAATTAATTTAATGTATGGGACAAATATAAACTTTTTGGATTATCATGGATTACTTGCAGCTGTAAAACAAGTATACTGTATAAAGAGACCAAAACGAATTCAAGCCCCAATAATCCCTTTCGTCTAAGGATACTCATCACTATGTGACTAGTTGTAGATATATCTATAATAAACTGACGGAAACTAAGTTTGAGTTACCTAGAGTAGTATAAAATGGAAAGAAAATTATGCTTTAAACATGTCCTCAAAAGAATTACAGAATAGTTATGGGATGACGTTTAAATGTGTAAAAGGAACAAAATTTCAATGGTTCCACAGGATTCAGCACAGAATTATTGCAATGTACATTAAAAAAAATATATATAATCTAGGCTTTTGGCTGGCAATGCTGCACTATAATGGAAATGCACAGCGTATTCAAGCTAAAACAAAAGATGGCAACTTGCAGTACAACATATCATTTCCCAAGGCAAAACAAGGGGCGTATACTGTCAAAAAAAGTATGACAGAATGCACATTTAGTAAGATGTATTCATTATTTTAGTTATGAAAGTTAACATTAAATTTTACCTTGCAATTTAAATACTGTATCTAATTTAGTTTATTTGGTACAGCACATTTAATTTATTGTGCCTGAATGAATTTTACTTGTATCTTGCGAATGGTTTTTCATTTGCACCTAGTTAAATGTTTAATAATAATATTATTATTGTTTATATTTTTTTAAGGTTTGTAGATAACCTAATCGTAGAAATGATGTCAATCACTGAAGGTACAGCTACAGGCATCGATGTTGTCCTCTGTGCAGTGGCGTAACAGGCGGGGGGGGGGGGCGCAGTGTGTCTCCTGACGGATTTACTGGGCTGACGAAGCCGTTGTACCGGGCTGAGTAAGAAGAGGAAAGAAAGAGAGAGAGGGAGAGGAAAATAAAGAGAAAGAAGGGGAAAAGAAAAAAGTAAAAGGGAAAGAGAAGAGAAGAGAAGAGAAAGATAAAGACAAGAATAAAAAAAAATATCATATGATCAGACACGGTATAACAAAACCCTGCACCCCCTTCACTAGTTCCAAAAATGTCTACAGAGTTAGAGCGAAATAGTTGCGAGTGATACACGGCTGATGTAAATGATACACAGGCTGCGGGAAAACTTACATCGAATCGAATTGTGATGGATGTGTTGAGGCTGTAACCTTTTTGGGGGGCAGTGCAAAAGCTCTATACATTTATCACCGGGAGCCACCCACGGCTGGATATCTTTCAAGATGGTCAAGACGAGCTTGACATGAAAAGAAAGACTTTGCAAAGCTTAAGCGAAACTCGGTGGTGCTGTAAGTACACAGCAGTAAAGTCTGTTAAGGATACTTATCCAGCACTTCTATTGGCTCTAGAAAATGGAAAAAAAAAACTTTTGAAAATGTTCTGGAAGAAAAGGGCATATTAGATTCCATCAGTAAGTTTGAGTTTGTGGTTCTGTTGGAGATGTGGATAGACATTTTGGCAGATATCAACAGTCTTTCTGAATACCTACGCAGTAACCACTTCCATGATGGAAGTGTTACTGCGTCAGCTATAATCAAAAGCACAACTGAAACAGTCACTGAAAGATGGTCTGAAGAGCCTAAATGCAGCAACATCTATTGCTACAGAAGAGGAACTCACTGCGTCAGCCCAAATGTAGAATGCGAAACAACTTCAAATTAAAAATTACTACAAATGGAATCAGCATAAGATGTTATGTAAATTTAATCATTCAAACGTAGAAAGGATGAAAAATGAAACGGTGAAAAATGGCATAACAGTAGTACAAAAGTAACGGAACGATGACGAGACATTTTGACGTACCGCTGCCCCGGTGATTGGTTGTGAATGACGTCATCTATACGTTGCAGCCAATCACCGGGGGTAATCCACGCACCCATGGAAGACCCTATGGGGAACCCCGCACAGAGTGCGGAGAAGTAAGGAGAACTTGAGATACTGACGATAAACTGAGACATACCTATACTACCTACCACTGTTAGCGAGTGAATTGCACCTGCGAGTGAATGTCCACTTTGTCCTATATAGTATCTCGAGTAGTATAAGAATCTATAGAGACCTAGCAAATCTCTATAATGGCGACGAGGAAAACTTTTTTCTTAGTTTTAGCGTGCGGGTTGCGCCGTGGCTGGATGGATTTCCAACAGCCACGCACAGCTCCACGGCTCGCGCCTCATCCAACGGCCTCGGGTAGTGAGACGTTTACGTTTTCTTCTCGAGTTCGCTGGACGTATTGCTACCATCTTGGATTTGTATACTGCTAGGCAGATACGTTTTAATTTCCTAATAGTCAGATTAACTATTTTAGTGGGCAGAGATACGGGACTGGGCGTATAGGCTCGTGACCTGGTCCGTTCTGCCTACAAACCATGCTCGTGTTCATGGTACAGCGTTTTGTATATTAACGCACTGGGCCTGTGATTCCAGAACGGTTCAACACAGTATGCTAGTGTTCATGCTGGTTACCGGAAAATATGCGACCTTAATATATATTAGCATCTTTATGATTTGTAGGTGTAGTTAGGTGTAGATAGGATTATATTATTGTTATTATTATTCTTTCGTATCGCAACTGGCAGTCGGCAGTTTGCTGCACATTTTTAGTTATTTATTAGCTTATTCAATCCGCGCCGATCATATTTTTTGATCACGCTAAATAGTCTGATATACTTGCTACTGTGGGCCGCATTGTCCGCTTGGTAGTAGGTCAGGTTATTTAGGATAGCCTAGCTATAGTTTTCGGTTATTTTGGAATGTGATCTGTGTCTGGTGTGTGTTAGTTGACAGGAATGGGAAGTTATCAAAGCTACCATCACTTTCAATCGCGCCGCCATTCCAGCGCCTCCCACTATAACCGCAACTTTAGACTAATGATCGTCGTCTTCGTGCTCGTGTCACGTGACGACCTAGGCACTCCAGCGTTAGCCAATCATTGCAGCGCACTGGCTCACTGCTCTCGCTCGGCAGTGTCCTGCTCTGTTGTTTTTCTCGATACGGGGAATTACGTAGTTAGATACTGTTTTCTGATTGGTTGATGACTGGGGAGATTCAGCAGTTATTTTTAGCATGGTTGTGCCAGGTTTTGACTGGAGAGTGCGCTCCCAGCGTTAACCACGGCCGCCATATTTCGCTAATTCTTGTTAGTGCAGGAATGACTGTACATTATCATATGTCTTGTATATTCTGTTATTCTTTGAATAAAATATTTTTCCGTGTCATGTGTCATTATTTTTCACCATGATCTTGTATGTTCTATACTCTTCCGCATGTGTAGTCTTATTATTATAAACATGTGTTAGTTTTGTGTAGGCTTGTAACTTTCTAGTTAGGATCGTATTCGTAGTTAATGTTGTGGCTTTGCGGGTAGGGTCCCACCTGTGAGTGTATCCCTGGCCTTGTTGATAGCTGTACCCTTTTACCATCTGGGTTGTGGCTTTGGGATCGTCAGTGGGTTTCCTGTTCGCGGGTACGCATCTTGCATGCGTTCCTAATGAATGGCGTCCTTCTATTTGTTACAGATGAACTCTATGGCTCCAGTCGTCAATGACACTTTAGCTTCTACCTTTACGGTAAATTATGCTTAACAGCGTAGTCATTTTTCGGAGGAATTTACCCCGGAAATGATCTCGCGCCTTATCCAATTTAGGAAAACTGCAGGGAATATTGGGACTTTGCGCGAACTGCAACAGGCTGTATAGGACCCTCTGGACTGTCTCTGCCTGGATGTAGATTTTGCACCCAATCCCCTGTTGTGGAGGGATCCCTGTGCTCAGCAGGATGGGGTAACGGTTGGTGGGGGTCCAGCTGCGGCTTCCCCCCTCCCCGGCCGTTTATCGATCACCTGCTGGCCCAGTCACCCACGGAGGCGCACCCTCACTTACCTACTGTTCAATTATCTTACAGATATGACTGACAAGGAAGCAGAAGAACCCATGGAGGTAGGTGAGGCGGGCCCAGTCCCCTCACCACCTCCCCCGGACCAGCCGTCTGGTGAGTCAGTTCCTACGGGGACTGGCCCCCAGACAAGCACTGAAATACCAGCGGCTGGAGAGTCTGGCTCCCACGGGGGTCACCTCCCAGCCTTGGAGGCTTTGCAGATAGGGGAGGCCGAGGACCTCCTATTGGCATCACCCCCTCCATCACCCCAGGACCCTTCACTACCCCCTCACCGAGTGTCAGTGGCCACTCTTTCCTTCGGGGAAGATGTGACCCTGACCAAGTCAGGGCCCCTTGATGACCGTGGGGTTTTCAAGGCCAAGGTCTGTCATGGGGAGTGGACTACTACACTCCTCGTGCGGATCGGGGACCGGGGTGAGACCCCCCTCAGCCAGGACGTGCGCTGGTACACCGGCGACAACCTGGAAGGGGCGAGTTGGCCCGCTGCGGTGGTGGCCGGCCCGGACGAGCAGGGAATTTACACCTGTTCGATTCCGTGGCAGGCCCCATCAGGTGGACCAACTACCCTGGGGATTGCCCTAAATCACTTTGAGGCCGAACACCAGCAGGCCTCCAGTTTTGGAGGCCGGGACATCCGTTGACGGGATGTTCCCTGCGGGAGCTGTCCCCGTGAGCTTTGCCGCCGCAGTGGCCGGTTTTCCCACAGGAGCTGGTCCTGCAAGCGCTGCTGCAGCGGTTGCAGGAACCAGCCATGCAGTCGCAGCTCCGGCAGTCGCAGCTGCAGCGACCATGGATCCCAAGGGGGCTGGTCCTGCATCCTGTGGGTGAAAAGGAGGTCTCCAAGTACCAGGGTCCTGTGTCGGTCCACCTGCCGGGTTTCCTGGTGGACCAGATCTATTGGGTCGATCCACCAGTGTTAGCCCAGGCCCGATGGGATTGCCTCCTCGGATTAATTGATCTGATCCCTACCTTGGGGGGTTCGGTCTAGAGAGCGGTGGAGTTCTTTATTTAGGAAAGCGCCATCTTCCCCGGCTAAATCTTCACCAAGCGTTTTACTCAGTTTCTGACCCAGGTGGCCACAGCTACCGGGAAGGAACCACCTACTAGCCTAGATGTATTCCCCTGTGGACGCCGCTGGGGTTATTACATCATACGGCTCTGCTGTTTTTGGCCAGTCAGGCCTTGCGGGTAAATCCCGCTGGTCTGGCTCGTCTGAACAGGGCACGGTGGTTGCCACAGCAACTTCCTGCCAAGCGCACAGTGCGCAGGAGCCGCAACCGAGACAGCCGCCACTCCGCTTTGCCGGCTGCCAGCGACCGACTGGGTGGCGGCAAGGGATCGGGAAATCGGGGTGTTGCCACGGCAAGGCTTCCGGTGCCGGTTCAGTTGTCTGCTGGCGCGAGCGCAGCTGCGGCTCTGGTGCGCCGGGACGCTGCCAACGCCACGTCGCAGTGCAGCAGCATAACGTCTGCTGGCGCAGGCACAGCAGCGGCTCTGGTGTGCCGGGATGCTGCCGATGCCACGTCGCAGTGCAGCAGCGCGACCCGACCTACATCAGTGGGTGGTTCAGGCAGCAGTGTTGGGCGGATTCTGACACACTCCACGGGGGGCAGGGCCGTCGGTCAAGGGTTTGTCACCTACTCGGCCGCCGGTGCCTGTTCAACTACCGGTGGAGAATGAGGTGATGGCAGCGCTGCGCGAGGCGTATAACAGCCTCCAACGCCACCACAGAGCGGTCGCAGCGTCTAGAAGCCGGGAGAGCCGAGAGCGGGCGGTTTGGGTACTACGCCTTGCCCTCGACAATCTGCGGTGCCTGGCCGAGTTCTCGGGCGATCTGCTCTAGCCGCCGGATCGCCTGTGAGTACTGCTGCGGTGGTCGTTGTTCCTGTGGGAACCGGCCCTGCAGTAGCAAGAGAAAATCAAAAAAAGAAAAAAAGTTCCCGTTTTTTCGCCATTTCTAATGGCTGTTGTTATGATGTTCATGTTTTTATTGTTCTTTGGAGTTATTGTTAAAAAAAAATAAATAAATAAATGATTCCATTATTGT